ATGGCAGAGAGCAACTTGAGTGCACCCACAACAAAGTGTGAGACCCAGCTAATTGGTGTGGTTCTGATGATGCCTTCATTCTGCCCAAACCCTTGTCCCTACAAGTTTGCCTGGAGGATTATTGAGCTGCTCCCCTGACCACGCATTATTTAAAGGGAAGTGCTGTTATTATGGAAGCCAGCTGTTTAACCATTGGAATCCTGTCTGTTGGCCAACTTTCAAGATGAAGCAGGGCACTGTACTAAACATTATGTCTACTCCTAGAGGAGCCAAAGTCTAGGTTAGGTGGTGGCCAATCTTTGGTCTGCGTGCTATGAAACCTCTGAAGCAAACCGACGGACAAAATCACTAGACAAAAATATACATTTTCAATGTTAAGACTATCACCAAGAAAAAAGTCAGTGGAATGTTCCGCATGCCTGTCCACACTAAGAGGGTATACAGACCCTTCAGGAAACCAGCCCAGCACAACTGTGGGACTGTGGCTCCCTGAAGAGGGGACTGCCCCCTCACCTGTCCTTTGGTGCTGCCTTGTGGAAGAACAATAAAAATGTTGTGAGCATCTTGAGAAACTCAAATAACAAGTAGAAAACAAGTTTTCATCTGCTAAATTTGGAAAAATGTGAACCTCTTTCCTGGAGACAATGTAAGCAGCTTCCAGCCCTACTGAATGGTCAGCCTATATCAATCTTTTCTTCCACCTCTTTATAGAAGTTTTGAAAAAGACGACACAAGAGCAGTCATCCACTGTGCTCAACACAGGAATCTGCTCAGAGGACCTCTGATGGGTGTTATACAGCCTTTATCTGACTGGCCCCTGCAGCAGGTCAGAGTCCAAAGCTTTTGGAAGAACAATGTCCTCCTGTTAACACTTTCAAGTTCAAATTGCTCAGTGTTTCCTCTTTCTGATAATAGAATTAAAATAGTTCCAGTAAGTCATCATTTTCTCCATTCTTCTACCAGTTCTGACTCTACTCATCAGAGCAGGATGACATAATAAATTTTTAAAGCTAAGGAGGGAGCAATTAGCCTGTTTCATTTATTAGTCAAAACGACTAAAATTAGCTGTAATTTACTGGTCATTGTACTAACTATCTTTCTCAAAATTTATACTGGTCAAGTGTTACATTGCTGTTCTAATAAAATAAAATACATGTTGTCAGGGCTTCTTGTTTGAAGTCATAGTAACAATTATTTTTATCTCTAAATAACAGCAAATACCAAGTTTCTCCAGGATAGTGCTGGTTCTGGGAAGAGAAGAAATAGGAGGCATTGGAGGATAATGGCAAAATTCTGACCTACAGTTGTAGTCTCCCAAGTGGTAAAAAATTGATGATTTTTTAAAAAATTGAATATCTTCATGCAGAACCAGAAATCAAGCTTCTGTGATACTTCAAAGGATGAAGTAAATTTGAAAAAGCAATAGGTAAACACTTGTTATACTCATCTATTCTGAGTAGAACACAGTAAGTCCATTGTAGACTTTCTGAACAGACAAAGACAAACATCTCTCTAGGATTGTGGTAGTTAAAGATAACTGGTAATTATCTTTATGGGAAGATCCAACTCTGTACACCCCTGCTTCAAAAAGAACCAGACATGGACATAAGAACAATATTCTCTGAGGAATAGTATGGAAAATTCCTAAACTTCTGGTTCAAAATTCATGAGTCTATGGACACAAGGAAAGCCCAGCTACTTTATAGATTGAACTGCCAACCCCTGAGCTCTTTAAGAGAGAGAAAGTTCCAGAGACAAGGTGGGGAATGCACTGTCCTTTCCTGCTGTGATGATCATCATTTCTGTTTTACAAGAGGAACTAGACCCACAGTGATGTATCTGGCTATTGATGGTTGCAAGAAAGACTTACACAACACACAGAAAGAGAAAAAGGCTCTGTGTTATTGAGTATGAAAGTTGGTGTCTTTCTCCTGGAACAGGCAGGGATCACTCAAACAGAATGAAGCTAGAGATGCTTAAAACGGAAACGTTAACTAGGTCCTATAATCCCAAAACCTATCCCTCTCCATTTTCAACCCAAATGCCTGAGTTTTGAAATCAGTTGTTTCTGAGTTGGCCAAGTTTGAAAGTTTCTGGATCCACTACTCCACCCCATCTCCAAATATCAAACTCGAGTTCCTCTTCCACAATCACAAAATGAATCCCAGTTATATCCCATTAAGAAGCAGAGAGTCTCAGCAAAGAGGAACCCGCAGGGGACTGCAGGGACAGTTACCATAAAAACCAGAGTCACCTTCTCTTTTCTCCCTACCCCAAGAGAAAAAGTCAAGTGGATCACTGCTCTTGACCAGCAGCCACTTAGCAGAGTATGTGAAAGTCCTTTGTGGACTACAAAGAACCATGCAAGCCCATTTGTGTCTCCCCCCAATTTATAGTCCCAGGAAAAGATTATAAAAACAAAGAAAAACAAAAAAAAATGTTTACATTGCTCAGGGGACCCGTGGAATCTCAGCTCACCAGGGCCTGGCCAAGGAGTCCACTTCTTCACCAGTCCTTCCCTCCTAGCAGGAGGAAGTGCTGCGGAGGCTCAGCTGGGGTCAGCTCCCGCCCCCCTAAGCCCCACGACCAGGAGGAGCCCACAGAGCCTGCTGTGAAGAGCAAAGCAGATCCTGCCCAGAGATCACAAATGAACCCTTACCACGTTACAACTGCTAGCTGCCCCCAGGATGACAATAAACCTACATTGCAGAGGAAGCGGCCACCAGGCTCCTGTGCCAAGCATCAGGAAAGCATTTTCTATCTTAGCGGATGCCACGGACAGTTGGCCCTTCCAGCAGTGAGGTAGTAGGCCATTCCCCTCTGGCCTGATTTCCCCCAGTGAGGAAGTACAAGGACTTAGACTTTCAAAACCCCATCCTTAAGCATGGGGTCATTATTATGCAAACAAAAGAAAGTTTTGTGTTTTTTTAATGTGATACTTTCTTAGGTTAAGAATTAAGATAGAGTATATGTTAAATCATTTATTGGATTTTTTATTGTTTTTTGCTTACAGTAATAATGACAGCATACATGGCCTGTGTGGAGCTGGTGCTCACTGCCTCTTCCCAGCCCCTTTCCGTGCCCTCCCTCTGCCTTCCTCCATCCCTTGTTCTCCTTCCCACTTGAGAAAGAGCCACCTCCCTGCTTCCTATTATCCATATTTTATTTTGCTCTTTATTTAGATTTGAGTTTCTCATGAAAGAGAAGCCACGTGATTTTTAAAAGCTGGGCGTCTGGCTTATTTCCCCCAACATTATGGTCTCAAGGCGCATCCATTTTCCTACACAGGACTGCAGCTGTCTTCCTGGCAAAACAGGGCTCCGTGCTGTATAAAGGCCACGCTGGCTGGCATCCACTCCTCTGCTGGCAGATCTGGACACTGCTACCAAGATTTAGCTACTTATGCGTTGCGCTGCTGTAACAGTGGACACACACGGATCCCTGTCATATGACGTTTTTAACTCTTTCAGGAAGATACCTAGAAAGGGACTCACTGGGTCCAGTGGAATTTGCAATTTTAGTTTTCTGAGAACTCTCCATACAGACCTCCACAGTGGGTCAATTCTGGGGATCAGTGGTTCACAAGTTTTCTTCCATGAATCCTGGAAATCAAGGGAGAAAACCTGGGTACCTCAGGTCCTGAAAGAGGTGTGGGAGATGAGGAGAGGCCAAGGTCTCAGCTCCTCAGCTTCACTGGAGACGGAGCAGCTTCACTATTGGTCTGTTTGATAAACTGGCATATTGGCCAAGACTGTGACCACAAGCTGACAAGCAACTCAGGTACAGATTAAATTCCATGCATGCCTATTCTGTGGTTGCTTTTAATACTAAAAGCAGGAAAACTGTGCCCTAACCACTCTCCACCAAAAAAAAAAAAAAAAAAAACCACTAAGCTAAAGGTACTTGCCAAGAGGTTCAAAGGATGTGAAGTGAAGATATCGTTGTTTTCTCTGGACAATCAGAGTCACAAAAAGGATGGACATTTATTTCTTATTCAACAAGAAAACAGAAAGGCTGCTCTGGTCTATCTAGGGTGGTGAGAGGAGGGGTTCTGTTCTGATGGTGCTGTTGTCTGTCCTAAGTTCTGAATCTTTTGCATGCAGTCAGCACTAACAGTTTCTTCATAGACCCTACAAGATCCAGGAAAACCCCAGAAAGGGCACTCAGAGGAAGCAAACAATATTTATTAGGGACCTACTATGTGCTAAGTGTTGTGCTGGGCACTCTTTAGACATTATTCCACTTTATCTTCAATTCTGATGAGCAAAGTATTATCGATCCTACTATACAAGTCGATAAACTGGTCCCTGGAGCACTTCAGGCTTTGCAGGAAGTAGGTCTGAGTTCGAATTGTGACCTCACCGCTTTCTGTATGAGTCACCTCAAGCAAATCATTCCCAACTCTGAGCCTCAGTTTCCACATTGGTAAAACGAGGAGCCCTTTCTAGACTTAAAACCTCTTTCCCCTTCAGTCTGATTCTACAGTGGAAGCAAGGAAGGAAGAAGGCAAACAACTGAGCTGCCGCAATGTAATGACTATGCATGTTTGCAGAAAAAGATTAAGGACCCCCAGTTTTCCCAGCATCATTTCTAGAGAATAGTGCTTTTCCTAACGTGTAACCTGATGAATGACCTAAATATTCTGAGATGATCACTAGCATATACATCTGCCAAGATATCACAGTGAGCCCTGTAAATAGGTGCAGTTATTAACTTTCCACTTTTAAATGAATAAAGAAGTAAGATAAAGGAAATTGAATGCATCCTTTTCTTTTAATGGGTAATCTTGATGGCCTCCCAACTAAGCTGATATATCTTTTTAAAAGGCAAAGATTGGGCATTGATAATGCTCCACTCAGGTTGCTGAGAACTTGAGAAAAAGAGGCCTGCGGATGTGTACAGAGCTGGTGTGGGGAGAGGACAGGGGCCGTAACTGGGTGACAAACAGTGAGGACCCAGGATGTACTCTAACTCCTGGCCGTTCTTTGCTTGATTTGCAGACAAGCCCACGGGGTACGGCTCCAGCAGTCGGAGGGCGCCGCAGACAGGCATCGTGGACGAGTGCTGCTTCCGGAGCTGCGACCTGCGGAGGCTGGAGATGTACTGTGCGCCCCTCAAGCCTGCCAAGTCGGCCCGCTCCGTCCGCGCCCAGCGCCACACTGACATGCCTAAGACGCAGAAGGTAAGCCCAGTGGGGGTCCAGCCGCAGGCCATCCTCTGCGTGTGGATGGCCGAGCAGAAATTCTGCTTCACATTCTCCTGGCAGATAGGTCTAAAGATTTTCTTTCCCACCAACAGGATGAATTATCCATCCATCCATCCACCTATCCATCTATCTATCCATCCACCACCCACCCATCCACCCACCTATGCATCCATCCATCCATCCACCCACGCACTCACCTATTCACCTATTCATCCACTCACCCACACATCCAGCCATCTATCCATCCATCCACCCATCCATCCATCTACTGATCCAACCATCCACTTACCCACCTATCCATTTACCCACCCATCCACCCACCCCTGCATCCATCCATCCATCTATTCTTTCACCCACCCACTCATCCATGCACCAACCCACTCACCCACTCATCCATTCACCTATCCATTCACTCAACCATCCATCCATCCACTCACCCACACATCCAGCCATCTATCCATCCATCCATCTATTGATCCACCCATCCACCTATCCACCTATCCATTTACCCACCCATGCATCCAGCCATCCATCCACCCACTCACCCACCCATCAATCCATCAATCCATCTACTCACCCACCCATACATCCACCCATCTATTCATCCACCCACACAGTCAGCCAGCCAGCCACTCAACTACTGAGCATGCAAAGTCTCCCTTCCATGGCTCTGGCTGACCTGAGCACTGGAGGACTGGGGCAAACATTGACTAATATGGGCTTTGGGCTTTGGTTTCAGACACAACTGCATTCCCTGCTGAGGTCTCTTGGCCCATAATATAACTTATCCAAGCCTCCACTTCACCAGTAAAATCAGGATAATGGTAATATCTCCCACAACAGAGTAGTCTCCAAACAAAGTAAACCAGTGCACATACTTCAGGATGCTCCCCACAAGCCTGCACGAGGTGGCTGTGGGGCCAGCATTCACGTGTATCATAAGTAGAACGCAGTGGTGCAAAGAGGAAAACTCTCATAGAAACTCTTTGTCATTAATTGTAGAAAAAGCATTAACAATAGACATTTCTGGTTATAAAAATTCCTAGAGATTCCTAAGGACCAAGGTCTGCAGACTTTTCCCTAAGATCAGGTGGTAAGCAAGAGCCACGGGCACCCTCTGCGCTGGCAGGCATGCCTGGAGGCACTTTCATCATTGCTGAGACTTTCACTGAATAGCGAACAAACAGACAAGCATGGCACCTGAGGAAAATTTTAGAATCAGTGAGAACTACAAGAAGGGGAAGAAGGAAAAGACAAAGTAAGGAAAATGAAAAGAGCAAATATCTCTTTTGGGTCACTGTGGATGCTGTTGAAATTCTTTTAAAAAATCAATGTGTGGCTTTTAATCATTGAAATTGAAATTAATGTTGTCCAGAAAGATCACAGCAACATCTTTGCTGCTTCCTTGTCCTACCACAGCTGAGGACCATGATGGCTTAGTAAAGAGGTCATCCCATCCTGGCGACCACGCCAGGGGCACAGGATCCTGGTGTGCAGAAAACACAGAAGCTGTCACTGGGATAGGAAGCAAGGACCCCAGAAGAAACCCACAGGTGACAAGTGCAGGAGGTGCTCGAAGGCGCCCTCCCCAGTGGTCCAGCGCCTGAGATTTCTAATTGGAAAGGAAATGGGTGTCAAAGATGAAGCTTGTAACTCAGGCATAGATCCCTCTCCAGCGCCTGGTTACTTCCCGCTTCCTGTGGAGTCCTGCATTCTGGGGAGACCCAAAGGCTGTCTTCGGGGGCACCAATGCAACAGCCCGTTCTCATTACAATTGTTTTGATAGATACAGCATCAGCGCCCACCTACAACAAGGAAACAGAGTTTTGGAAGAGGAGAGCGAGGACACAGACACTGCCAGGTGGGGAGCAAGTCAAGAAAAGGAGAAAGAGCAGAGAAGGAAGACTGGAGCTAGAAACTGGGGCCTGTGAGGCAAACAGACAAATGGAGGTTAGGACCAAACAGAGGCAAGGATGGGAAAGGACAGAGAGCAAGGCAGACAAGCTGAGAATGTGCTAGGCAAATGAAGTAGCCCTGGGGAGCAACACCATATGCCTGGTGGAAGTAGAAGTAACCTGCCATGGAAGGTGCTAAGAACAATGAAGAAAAGAGGGTAGGCTAGTACCCAAGAGGGCACAAAGAAAGGGCCAAGAAAGAAAGAAACAAATTATAAAAGAGGCAAGCAAGATTTCACCCTGTTCCCTGACAAAAAATAAGATAAGATTAAAAGAATTCATATCAAAACCAAGGCTCTGACATGCATTTTCCAATTCTGTACGGGTCTTTTGTAGAAGAATTGCCCATGTCAATATATGTTCAGAGTTAACTATTAGCCCCAAATTCTCAGCAAGACTGAATTGTGTCATAGAAGTTCCCAGATTTCCTTTCCTGCAATGCCATTGGAGTCCACACTTTTTAGTCAAGTCCAGGGTTTAGGCCAAAGAACATGCGGTATTTACCTAAAAGTCTGTGAGCTGACCTTTGAGTGGTTACTGACCTTTGGTTTTTCACTTTGGAATCAGACCCAAAAGTTGTATTAGTTTCTGAAGGTGACCATAACTGAGGCCACAGGCTGAGTGGCTTAAGACATGGGTCTTTTCTTTCCTCACAGGGAGACTGTAAGTCCACACTTGGGTGCTAGCTCTCCAAGCACCACTAAGAAGGATCTGTCCTCCTTGGCTTAGCAGATGGCTTCTTTCCAGCTGTCTTCCCTCACTGTCCACATAAATATCTTCTTTGTCTAGAACATGAGTCAGACTGGAGCAGGCTCCCCCCTAGGGATCTCATTGTAATGGAGTCATCGTCATAAGAGCACGCCATATTCTGAGGTACTGGGGCTCTACTCCTCAGTACATGAATTTGCGGGGAGAACACAGCTCATCTCAAAGTGACGACGTCAGACATCCAACTACTGCCCTGTGACTACACATGCTGGGAGCAGTTGGATGCCTGCCCCAATTCTCTCACCAAGCCCCAGCACACACCACCCATACATATCTAGACTTTCAGATCTTAAATCCCGGGAGTTTTTCTCAGTGAATCACACCAGGACCGTGTTACAGAAGCACTGAAAGAGATCTCAGAAGTCACTTGACTCCACCCCTTCATTTGCAAGACCAGGGCCCTGAGATCCAGAAGTGGGTGAAGACGTGCTTGGGTTCTAAGTGCTTTCCTTTGGATGGACAGACAAACACATAAGGAAAGCAAGTCGACTAAGAAAGAATTTTGAAAGGAAAAAAGGAGGCAGAAATGGACACATGACCCCTGCCATTCACTTAATGTGTTTCCACCAGAAGAAAGGGAGCAAGTTAGAACAAGAATGCTGGCTCTCCCTGAGGATAGACAATGGAGGCATGGCCTCATGGAGGTAAATTATAGAGCTCTTCCCCTTTACTTCCCTAGACTTCACTTGCAGGAGTAAAGTCCTCACAGAGAAAAAAGCAAATAATCTAGACATCAGACTGGGAATCATATCTGCCTAGAGACAGTACCAGACAGAAGCACACCAGCAAGCAAATGGTGACAGAGAATAACTGAAACTCACAAGGGAAATTTTACATCCAAGTAGAAATAAGGGAATGTCCTTTCTTTCTGATCCTCCTGTCCTTATCATGCTTTCTATGCCAGAATCCCCTGGCCCATGGATCATTCAAAACAAGGATCCCTTCAACGTAACAAAGGTGGCCAAGGTGCAATCCATGAAGCAAAGATCCAATCAGAAGCACATCAAAGCTCCAGATCTGAGTTTAGGCACAGCTGCTATGGTAGCAAAATAGACCCAGGTTTAATGGATCAGACAAAGGCAGAGCCGGAAATGCTGAGGAAACTCAGCAGCTCCTCAGCAAGGCACTCAGAAAAGGCTGAGCTCTCTTGCTAAGACAGCACACTTTGGGCTGGCCTCAGGCATGGGCCAGTGCACTGTATGTTAGAAGAGTTCATAAATACAGATGGCTCTCCAAGGGACCATGGCAGGAGGATTCATAGTTTATGTCAAAGTTTAGGTAAACCACCCTTAGACCCAGTCACAAACTCTATCAGGAAGAACTTTTTAAAAGCAATAGAACTGGAGTTGGGGATTTAGCTCAGTGGTACAGTGCTTGATTGGCAAGGACAAGTCTTGAGTTCAATTCCTAGCACCAAATTAAAAAGCTATAGCACTTTCAGTGAAAGAAAGATTCCACAGCCCCGAATATGCATTAAAATGTTTCCTTTTTGGAATGGATTTTATCATCTCTAAAGCAATCCTTTTGATTGTATGTATGTGATTATCATATAGTAGGAACTGAACAAATAGAAAGAATCAATAATTGGCTTTTAATCTCCTTTTTAGTATCAATACCAAATGTTTAGTGACATATGGCATTCAAGACTTCAATGAATAGATGGATGAGTGGGTGGGTGGGTAGATGGATGGATGCATGCATGCATGCATGGATTGATAGACAGATGGCTGAGTGGGTGATTGTGTGGATGGATGGATGGATGGATGGATGGATGGATAGACAAATGAATAATACAGGCAGATGAACAGTAGTAAAAGGTCAGGTCATATAAATAAGCTGCACTAATGAGGAAAGGTACTTTCTCTCATCCTACATAGACCAGTAAGTACGGAGTAAAACAGAAAAGGCAAAGGAGCTTTGGTGACACAAGTCTTTTATATTGGGAATGTCCTTCTCCAGCCTAAAATGAACTTGTTCAAGGATCCCTGCTACAGGTGGTCCCTACTAAACCCTTCAGTGAGTGTTACATATGGACAATTTCCTTCAATGTTTTTGTGAAACACACAAAGTATTAACCATCATTCCAAATTCCCGTGTCAACATCAACTTTTTCTCTTAGGGCGAATGGATGGTTGTGTACAAAACTGATTGGAATCTATGTGAATTTGAAATCATGAAGTAAAATTGTGGGGAATATTTTATTGAGCATCCACAGGGCTCAAACTCCTATGTGGACCATCCAGGCTGGTTATG